TGGGGGGGGGGGGGGGGTTAATTTTTTTCTTCTTTGGAAAGTCGAGACCACAAGGGGCTCAAGCATAAGGAACCATATCGCCCAGCTTGTTTTGGTACCATGCCACCTTGGAGTCGGTCTGACTGGCACTAAGAACATCGAGGTCACCGTCGTTGTCCAAGTCCGCCGCAAATACCGAGTGTGCGCCAACGGCGGCTGTGGTAATGACAATCTGGTCGGAGAAGGCACCATCACCCTTGTTGCGGTACCAAGCAATTTTATGGTCAACAGCACTAGCGCTGAGTACATCGAGGTTGCCGTCTTGGTCCAGATCTGCCGCGTACACGGATACCGCAGTATCGGCAGTCAAGCAAATGACAATTTGGGGAGAAAAGTTGCCTTGGCCGTCATTGCGGTACCACGCAATCTTGTTGTCGTTGGCACTCGCGCTCATCACATCAAGATCGCCGTCCTGGTCCAGATCTGCCGCGTACACCGAACGTGCGCCATTGGCTTTGGTGGTGATGACCATCTGGCCGGAAAAAGTGCTGTTGCCGTTGTTGCGGTGCCACGCAATTTTGTTGTCATCCTCACTGGCGCTGAGCACATCGAGGTAGCCATCATTGTCCAAATCGGCCGCGTACACGGACCATGCGCGAGAAGTATCCGTGGTGATGACCATTTGGTCGGAAAAAGTCTCATTGCCGTTGTTGCGATACCACGCAATCTTATTGTCATCCGCGCTGGCGCTGAGGACATCGAGGTAGCCGTCCTTGTCCAAGTCTGCTGCATACACTGAACGTGCAAATTGGGCGCCTGTGGTGATGACCATCTGATCGGAGAAGATGCCAGCACGGTCGTTTCGGTACCACGCAATCTTGTTGTCGCGCGAACTGGCGCTGAGGACATCGAGAAAGCCGTCGTTGTTCAGATCCGCTGCGTACACTGACACCGCAAAGTCGGCGTCTGTGCTAATAATGATCTGCTCGGAGAAGGTGCCGTCGCCGTTGTTGCGGTACCACGCAATTTTGTCGTCCTCACGGCTGGCGCTGAGAACATCAACGTCTTTGTCGTTGTCCAGATCCGCCGCATACACCGAGTACGCATAATTGGCGTCCGTGCTGATGGTGTGACTCTCAAACGCGATCGGGCTCACGACCGCCAGCGATCGCAAGGTTTTCACCACATCCACACCGTTGACGACCACGCGATTGGTCGAATTGATATAAAGCGTGCCCTCCCCATCCACCGTCAAACTCGGCTCGCCCGCATCGACTGCCACAGCCCAGGTCGAGAGCAGGGGCAGGAGGAGGAGGAGGAGGAGAGGGATCCCACCCACGTCCACCCAATAGCGTCCCGACGTCCTCATCATGAGAGAGATTTATTTTCCTAAAATTGTCAGAAAAGTTCTGATTTTTTCTCATTTTTTTTCCTTTTTGTGCTGATTTTTTCTCTTTTTTTCTCTTTTTTTGCTGTTTTTTTTTTTCTCATCTGAAAGGTATCATGTCGACTTCACCGCACATACACACATACATACACACGGGCGCACAAACAGCGATAGAAGCAGGCAAGCTTGGTGAATTTTGAAGTTTCCAAGTCTTATGATTTGTGGAGATGATAGCCCCAAAAAGAGTTGGCGGTCAAGGTCAAGGGGACATATGGCTCAACTGGTTGCGGTACCATGCAATCGTGTCATCGTAGTGACTCGCGCTGAGAACGTCAATGTGGCCGTCTGCGTCCAAGTCTGCCGCATACACCGCTGTCACGTACTCTGCTGTTGTTGCAATCACAATCTGAGTAGAGAAGGTGCCGTCACCGTTGTTGCGATACCAGGCAATCTTGTTGTCGTAGGCGCTGGCGCTAAGGATATCGGGGTAGCCGTCCCGGTCCAGGTCTGCTGCGTACACCGAGCTGGCGCCATCGGCCGCCGTGGTGATGACATTTTGAGAGGAAAAGGCGCCATCACCGTTGTTGCGGTACCACGCAATTTTGTCGTCAATGCTGCTGGCGCTGAGGACATCGACTTGGCCATCCCGATCCAAGTCTGCTGCAAAGACAGAATATGCACCACTGGCAGCGGTGGTGATGCTGTTTTGCGTGGAAAAGGTGCCGTCGCCGTTGTTGCGGTACCAGGCAATCTTGTTGTCGTAGGCGCTGGCGCTGAGGACGTCGACATGGCCGTTGTTGTCCAGGTCCGCCGCGTACACAGAGCGCGCATAATCGGCGTTTGTGGTGATGACCTTTGGGGTAGAAAAGGTGCCACCGCCGCTATTGCGGTACCACGCAATCTTGTCGTCGTACGCACTCGCGCTGAGCACGTCAATGTGGCCGTCGTTGTCCAGGTCTGCCGCATAGACCGAGTATGGCCCATTGGCGGCCGTGGTGATGACCCTTTGCGCGGAAAAGACTCCGCCGCCGCTATTGCGATACCAGGCAATCTTGTCATCGTACAAACTAGCGCTGAGAACATCAATGTGACCATCGTTATCCAGATCAACCGCAAAGACAGAGTATGCCCCGTCTGCGGCTGTGCTAATGACGCGCTGCTCGGAGAAGGTGCCGTTGCCATTGTTGCGGTACCATGCAATCATGTCACTGCTGCCGCAGGCGCTCAGGACGTCGAGGTAGCCGTCGTTATCCAGGTCGGCTGCAAAGACCGAGTAAGCGCCATCGGCGCTTGTGGAAATGTTGTGGCTCTCAAGCGGTCGCATCACGACCTTGGGGTTCACCTCAACAAGAGCACCAACCACAGACCTTAACACGGCAACCACATCAACGCCATTGATAACAACGCGGTTTGTTGCATTGATGAAAAGCGTGCCCGTCTCATCGACCGCAATGCTGGGCTTGTCGCCATCCCCGGCCACCCAAGCCACCAGGCTACTGGCGATGAGCGCCCACAAGCCCAAACTCGTCAGAACGGCTGCTTTCATCCTTTGATATAATAAAAATGAATCCGAAATACGATCTCTGTCTCTCTTCTCTCTCTATATGAAAAAAATTCATCCTCTTTACATCCATGTAAATCTCTCTCTCTCTCTCTCAAACCAATTCATTTCTCTCTCTCTCTCTCTCTCTCTCTCTCTCTCTCTCTCTCTCTCTCTCTCTCTCTCTCTGTCTCTCTGTCTCTCTGTCTCTCTCTCTAACATGTAAATCTCTCTCTTCCACACACACACGTGTCAGTCCGAGAATTTCTCATTTATCGTGTGTGTGTGTGTGTGTGGTCTGTGTGTGTGTGTGTGTGTGTGTGTGTGTGTGTGTGTGTGTCTCTCTCTCTCTCTCTCTCTCTCTCTCTCTCTCTCTCTCTCTCTCTCTCTCTCTCTCTCTCTGTGTGTGTGTGTGTGTGTGCGTGTGTGTGGCGGGGGGCGGGGTGTCTTTCTGCCTGAATAGGGGATGGCCGGCCGAATTGGCCGAAATCGGGTTAGTATCTCGAATGGGATACATCCAAAGCTGTGTAATGTTGAATTTTCCAGGACCAAACGGGCTCAGTGTACCAGCTCATTGAAGCTTGTTTTTAACAGCAGAGCTGCTCAAGCGCATTAGGAAGGTGGCAGGCAAAGTGTGTTGGGCACCCGCATCCATCAGAAGGTCTCAGAGCTCAGGAAACATTTGCCCCAGTCGATTGCGGTACCAGGCAATTTTGTCGTCATCAGCACTGGCACTGAGCACGTCGATATAACCATCACCATTCAGGTCCGCGGCATAGACAGAGTGCACCGCATCTGCAGCCGTGGTGATGATGATTTGATCGGAAAAAACACCCTGGCCATTGTTGCGGTACCATGCAATCTTGTCGTCGTTGTGGCTGGCGCTGAGGACGTCGAGGTCGCCATCATTGTCCAGATCTGCCGCATACACGGATACCGCGTAGTCGGCGGCCGTGGTAATGATGATCTGGTCGGAAAAATCGCCGTCGCCGTTGTTGCGGTACCACGCGATCTTATCATCGCTGGCGCTAGCACTGAGGACATCCATGTCGCCGTCCTTGTCAAGGTCTGCTGCGTACACCGAACGCGCGCCTTCGGCGTCGGTCGTGATGATCATCTGGGGGGAGAAAGTGCCGTTGCCGTGATTGCGATACCATGCAATCTTGTCATCGTCATAGCAGGCGCTCAAGACATCCAGGTTGTCGTCGCCGTCCAGATCGGCTGCGTAAACCAAGCGAGCACCATCCGCATCCGTGGCAATGACGAGCTGTTCGGAGAAGGTCCCATTGCCGTTGTTACGGTACCAAGCAATCTTGTTGTCAATGAAGCTGGCACTGAGGACGTCAGGGCTACCGTCGTTGTTCAAGTCTGCTGCATGTACCGAGCGCGTTCCATAAGCGGCCGTCGTGATAACATTCTCTGTAGAAAAGGTGCCATTGCCGTTGTTGCGGTACCACGCAATTTTGTTGTCATCTTGGCTAGCGCTGAGAACATCAACACGGCCATCCCGGTCCAAGTCAGCTGCATACACCGATCGCGCCCCTTCGGCGTCTGTGGTGATGATCATCTGGTTGGAGAAGGTGCCGTCGCCGTTGTTGCGGTACCAGGCAATCTGGCCTCGGCCAACACTAGCGCTTAGCACGTCGAGGTCATCGTCGTTGTCTAGGTCAGCTGCGTACACCGAGTACGCAAGCTCGGCGGTCGTGGTGATGGTGTGACTCGCAAACGCGTTGGAACCAAAAACAGCAAATGACTTCAGCACAGCCACCACGTCCACACCGTTGACGACCACGCGATTCGTCGAATTGATATAAAGCGTGCCCTCCCCATCCACAGCGATGGTTGGCTCATCCACCGTGCCCACCACAGCCCAAGCCAAGAGGAGGACGAGTCTCCCCACGAGCATCCAGTAGCAGCAGCAGTAGCGTCCCGCCGTCCTTCTCCTCTTCATCGTGTTGTTGCAAAATATCTGACAAGAGCAAGTTCTTGTTTTTTGTTGTTTTGGCGGGAGAGGCACAGAGGTACAGGCACAGAAGTGAATTGGTTTGAGAAGAGAGAAGTAAAGAGCAAAGACACAAAGGAAAAGCACAACTACCTACAGAGGCACAGGGACACAAAGACACACACACACACACACACACACACACACACACACACACACACACACACACACACACACACACACACACACACACACACACACACACACACACACACACACACACACTCACTCACTCACTCACTCACTCACTCACTCACTCACTCACTCACTCACTCAATAACTCACTCACTCACTCACTCACTC